GTTGCAACACGTGAGTTTGTCACCACACCATCTCTGATGCGTTGGCTGTTCAGAAACGTTACTGGCTGGTGTTGTGTCTCAACAATGATCCTCTGTCCACCAATATAGCAGGAGAAATGTTTCACTGCCCACACAGTGGTCAATAGAGCCTTCTCACAGTCTGAATACCGTAATTCAGGGCCTGCCATTGTTTTGCTGGCGTAGGCCACAACACGCTTGTCTTTGTCGTGTATTTGGTACAGACCTGCACTCATGCAGTGAGGTGAGAAGCCCACTTCCAAGTAGAACTCTTTGTTGTAGTCTGGGAAGACTAAACATGGGGCTAACCTGAGCCTGTCTTTGAGAGCGTTCATTGCCCGCTGCTGTGTATCAGTCCAGACAAAAGGAACGTCTTTCTTTAAGAGTTCAGTCAGTGGTTTTGCGAGATCCGCATAATGCTCTATGAACTGGCGAGAGTAATTACACACCCCCAAGAAACTCTGTAGTTCTTTGAGATTGGTTGGTACTTTGAGGTTGTCTAGGCCTTTGGTGCGAGTCAATTGTGGTTGTATTCCGTCCGGACCTACTAGGAGGCCAACGTAATCCACCTTGGTTCTGCACCACTGGCATTTCGACAGTGATATTTTAGCACCAGCAGTTGTTAGCTGATTTAGGACGTGGTCGATCTCAGCCAAATGAGAGTCCAGTGTTGGCTGCCTCAAAAGGATGTCGTCCACGTAGATCAGTGTCCCACGCTCGTGGGCGTCTGGACATGCTTTGTTCAAAAAGATGTTGAACTCTGCAGGTGAGTTAGCGTAGCCAAAGGGACACCTGGTAAAGGTGTATTGTCGGCTGCCAAAAGTGAAAGCTAGTTTGTGTTGGTCCTCGGCGCGCACAGGGATGGTCCAAAAACCAGAGGCGACGTCGAGGGTCGAGAAGTACTTACCATCGGTGACCTTTGGCAGTTCCTGATGGAGCTGAGTCATTGGCCACCTGGATAAGGGTACTTGTTTATTTAGCTTTCTGTAATCTATGGTAAGTCTCCACTTACCATTTGGTTTTAAAACTGGCCATAGAGGCGCAGAGTAGGTGCTATTACATTGTCTGATTATACCTTTGACCAAAAGGTCATCAATGATCTCCTGGACAGGCTGGTATGCTGCCAGAGGGATCTTGTATTGTCTGACAAATGTTGGCGGTGCGTTGGGTGGGGTTGGGATTCTCACTGTGTGGAGTGAGGTCAACCCACAATCTGTTGAATCAGTTGCAAATGACTTTTCATATTTTAAAAGAACTTGGCGAAGTTTGTCTCTTTCTTCATCAGATGTCAGAGCGTCAGCTTGTGCGACCACCTGATCAATCTGTGATGAGACTGATAAGGGTTCTTGCTCCTTGGGGAGCTCCAACGAATCCCTTTCTGAGTCGTCGGGCCTGTCTATGGGTAAGACACCATAGGTTTGAGGTCCTTGGTCGACATCATCGGTTGAGAAAAGAGCTATGGCCTGTGTTGGTTTCGTGAACCATACTGGCCCAGCGTCTTGACCCGGTACCAGGTTGTCTGGGAGTCCTCCCAGAAATGGAATGCCTAGTTCAAAATCATGAAAGTCAGTTGAAATCAACCATCCCAGCATAGTGTTTTTTGGGATCAGCACCTCATCCATGCCCGTGTTACACACAGCAATAGATGTGGTCCTGGAGTCAAGACTCACCTGGTTCGTGGCTTCCACGGACAGTCCCAAGTTGAAAAATGCAGGAGAGGGTTGAAAGTATGCCTGTTTACGGCTAATAGATTGTCCAGCTATGATGTGGATTCGCACCATTAGGTTAATCACCTGAGGTGGTACTGTGGTGGTTTGGTTGGTAGCAACTTGGCAGGCCTCTGGAATGGTCTGCCCAGCCTTAAGGCTCGCTGTATCTAGCACAGGAGGATCCTTTGTGGCTGGTTTTAGGGACCACAGCACCTTGTTGATGGTGTCCACGTGGACACCTAACCTTACCAAAATGTCAGAGGCTATGTAGGATGCATGTGGTAAGTTTTGGATGACGAGAAATGGGTGAACCAGTTCTCGTTGATTCCAGTTCAGTTTTAGGTTAATGACTCCTTCTGCGGTCATTACCTGTGAACTATTGGGAACTAATGGAAAGCGGAAAGCTTTTTTAATTAGTTCTAGACCAACGTGTTTGTGAACCAAGGTTTCATAGAAAGCTCTGTTAATTGCTGATTTATCTGTCCACAGAGACAGAACAGCGTCGTTGGTGCGGGACCCTTGGATATCTACACCCTTAACTACCAGTGGCAGGTAGTGTTTGGTGGACTCTGACTGTTCCAGCTCACAGAGGAGGCTGTCTTGCTGGGTCAGAGTCTGGACCACTGGGTGGGTCTCATTGGTTTCACATGATGTCAGAGGAGTACTCACCGGGCTCGTGTCCTCGGCTGAGGAGTCCTTTGCGCCTTCCGCGGTACCTGCTGTTGGGCAGTCTGTATCACACTCCGGAGGCGTATCGATTGGCAGTGGCTTGCTCACTGTTGTCCACATTGTTTGATCACCATAATCTATAATCGCGTCGAAGCGATTTATAAAATCCTGGCCAACCAAAAATGGGAATGAGTCAACACGACTCATTCCCATTTTTTAGCAATTAGACTTCGAAGAACTTAAATAGCGTTTCAGAACACAGCTTTAAAGCGCTTTTCAGCTTTAAAAAGCAGATTTTATTCCCTATGAAAACGAGTTTCCATTTCCGGGTCACGTGACTGAAATCACCAATGACAAAGCAGCACAGGGGTGAGAGAAAGTGACGTAGGCACGTCAGTCAATTTCTCAGCAAATCAGAGCACTCCACAGCAGAAAATCCAACCAACCACGAAGCGTTTGTAGCAACCAGCATGTTAGATTAGCCTGAAACACGTTCGTCAACTTTTCGTCTTTTAAACTGTCAAAATGCACTTTTTCTGTTAAAAACTGTAACGAATCAATTCTGAGTTGCACGGAGTCTGCTACTCCGGTCTCAAAAACGTCTTTCTAGCTATTTAAACAACTCGTCCGAACCTTTTCAGAACCGAGCCGGGCCAGAACCGCGTCTGGACCGTCTTTAAACAGAATAGAGCGTTTCCACAACCCAGCTTTTAGTTACCATAACAGGCGTACAATTTCAGCTTTCACAAGACATATGACACTATTTCAGCTTTCATAACATCGCCAGCGTAATACAGCGTAAACATGCAGAACCAAGCTCCAAGCGCGCAGCTCCAGCACGCTGCGTAAACATGCAATGTTTTGACTGCTACTTTCCTCATGCCAACATGTAAAATCAATCTTTACACGAATACGCAGTCCATATATGAGCACGTGACGGGCCACCAGAATGTAGATGAACAGATGCTCAGATATATTAATCAATTAACACGGATTCCTCATTTTTCTGGACTGAATAAAACGTGCATTGAATTTAATGAAATGCAAACGTGAGACGTCATTTATCTTTGACCCATCAAAATGAATGCGGTCATTTATTTACAGAATCAAAGTTTAACATCGAACATTTACATTAATTTGGCAAATTATGAAAATAACAACATAAGCAATCAATCAGGAAAAATCATACGGCCATGATTTTTCCGTTGCTTCACCACAGACATTTATGAAAACTGTACAATTATGATCTTTTACCCACACGGCGGTGGATGAGCACTTTACACAGACATTTCTAAATATCTGGAAGAATTTCTACTTGAGAGAGGAGTTTAAAGATGGGAAAGAAGTTTAAAGAAGAGTAAAAGATGGGGTTTGAGGGAGTGTTGAACAGAACGGCACTCTCCGGGCTTTCTTCAGCTTCTTCCTTACAGTACACTTAGGTGGTGAAATCGACTCTTTTACCTGGAGATGTCTCAGGCGAGATTCCGTTTAACGCACCCTTTCAGCGTCTCCGTAGGATGCTGTTACTCGTCCGGAGTAGCGGCGAGATTCTGTCCGCCACAGCTCACCTCAGTGAAGATGTTATAATCCCATGAAACTCGGAAGAGCTCTGTTGTCATGTCAGGATCTTCCCGGCTCACAGAACTGAACAGAGACCCAACTCACTCAACTGAACTCTCACAGCCCTCACAGAACTGACAGAACTGAGTAGACCAGGAAGTACCGACATTTTAAA